TGCACTCAGAAAGCTAGAATTTATATGAAGGGTACTTACCTAATTACTTTTAGTTCGTTTTCTTTCACGTGCACTCTCGACATTTTTTTAATGGCCACCTGAAACGGACAAGCTTTAGGGAATTCTAATTGTGCAACCTGCCGGGTTCCATTTGCATGTACTTGATCGTGGTAATAATTTTCAGCTAATGTTTGCCTCTGTCATTTGGTGCTAACGAATAAGGTTTGACATGCAACGTGCAAAAGTTTTATCCGTTCTCTATTCCCTTTTTCGCTACCCTACTTACATATTCATGGAATCATTGTTGGCGAATCGAAAATGATATGAAAACAAACTTTGTTATTGTCGTCTTCGTTGTAGCCTTTGTAGACGACTCCAAAAGAACCCAGCCCGATCAAAGAAGTAAGTGAATCGTGATAGGTGTACCCATTTGAGAGATGGACATTTTCATTGGTGAAATCTGGCAGAGGTATAGCATTCGATCCTCTGGGCGTGTTACTGTAGGTTTGAACCATCTAAATTTATATCGATTATTACAACACCATAGAATGGTTTACGGTAAGCACAATGGCAATGACAATGTTGGATTTGAATGTTGTACATTAATAGTTACACATCGAGATCGATATCCTGTGTTGGATTGGAACATATGTAGATACGCTTATCTCTTTCCTCGCATTAAAAAATGTGGCAGCGAACGAGATCCGTATTTGAAAAGTGCGGATCGTATGAATGCGTATTAGACTATTAAATATTCATAGCAATAGCGAAGCATTTCCAGAGCACATCTGCTCGCAACTCGCATCGGAGCATTGTGCTCTGGCCTGAGAGAGCAAAAGGCTTTCCGGCTGTGAGTGACGTATACGAGGTAAAAAAAAAGATCGATGCGCTCACACTGCGGACCGCCTTTGCTAATGTGTGGTGACGTAAAATCACCAAGGACAGCTGTCAAGCTGAAGTCGTTCTCGCTTCATGAGACATTTCAGTGCACGTGGAAATTGGGCGTGCAGCTGGAACCGATTTTGACCCCAAACAACAAATATACTTCAATAGATTATAGTATCTTATTGCTCGTAATGTGCGAGCGGAATGTTAAAGCTTG